TCAACCTTTGTTCCTAGGGCAAGAAGTTCCTAGCGAAGACACAGAATAGAGACTATAGTGCCAAAGATAATATGGTGTCATTTATGGATTATGGTGAACATAGATATTGACTGATTACTTTTGAAAATATCATGAAAACATCATAATGCTGATGCTCTTCGTGTGCCAAAAATTTGATTATAATCTGCATAAATGCACAGATTCCATTCTTTTCTAATCTTTTCTACTATCCAACATAGGTTGTCTACTGTAATTTTGACGATAGAGAAAGAGAAATGCTACGCGTAACAAAACTTTGGTATCATTGTTGTTGATACCAATTGAAAGTACCTTTTGGAAATGCACCAACCCGATCAATGATTACGACAATACCGAAATTTCATTCTTAGTTGTAGTGTGTATCCTAATGTCACAGTTTCCGAGTGTGTTCCAAGGCTTCTGATCTATTGGCAGTCCCATTTCCTGATAGCAATACAATAACTTACCTTGACAGTAACTGGAACAGACTCCCCAATCTCACAACCTTCCCACTCGACCGAACAAATAATTTCCACTGGACTTTTAGAGAAAAACATTCCTCTAACGCTTTCTGCATAAGTTTTTTCTCGAGGTATTCCTCTTTGAATGAAACAGTTAAGGCCATTTACATCAAAATAAAAAGCATCTGCAGTTGCAACATAATGATATGTAGTATTTGGTTGAATCCAGTAACGAACTGAGCCCATTGGACTTTCAAATGAAGTTCGTAAATTATACGGTAGGTCGAAGGTTATTGGCACGACATGTTCTCCAGCTTCTAGGAATGCTAAAAAATACATGAATATTCAAACATTTTAATCCTTTTGTGTGCAGCAATTTAAAATCAATATCTAACCAGGAAATTTGAACAATTTGGTACAAAACTACAACACTGTTAACTAAGAACTTCACTGGAAAAGTGTGATCATATAGTGTGTGCAGGGGAAGAGTATAATGAGTGTGGATGAAAACCCTCATCTGCCCGTAAATTTCCGAAACTACATTTTATATCTAAATCATAACAAAACAAGACGCTCAGTCTATAGAGCAGTAGGCAGTAGGTCACTCAGTCACTGGGATTATAGAAATAGCACATTTGATTTAGATTCTACTACATGGGATGGGCGATATCCACTTTTTAAATTTCATGCGATACTGGTTTGATATATTTGCTTTTCTTCAACATCGATACCAATATTTCTGTGACATACGGATATAATAATAGGCGTGAACAACAGAAGGCTTTTTTATTTACAATTAGTAGTAGCAAATGTTAATTAACCAAAGACCACAAGATTGAAAATTCTGTAAGTCAAAGGGAAACGTTGAAGTTCTTCTTGTATTTTCAGGAAGTTGCATCCCTATCAATCCGAAGCTTTCTACGAAAGCCTTGAACGAAATTTATCATGTTTGTCTAAAATACTGTTTATTGCATTGTATCCTGATATGATTGGAAATCAGATTAATAGCTACAATCTTGGCCAAAAACCTTATATATCACATCATCCATCTTCCCCCCATTCAATGTTGTTTCACGTAACTATAGCTGGAGATCTGGCACAACAATACTGTAACTGAAACAACATTGAACAGGGGATGCGGGAAGAGTTTCCATACTTATAAAATATAACAAAATAAATTTAGGGCAAAACTAGTGCAAACGTTCAGTTGTTCTATGAACTTTTGGCCAATATTTTATATTATTAAGGTTCAGTGCAGATGGGCGGACATCAAAACCAAATATCCATAATATAGTCGATATACCAGCATCTGAACGAAAAGTTAGTAACGTTACTGTCGAAAGAGCATTAACCAATTTTATCAGATGTGCTTAATCTTCCTGATTAACCAATCAGATGCGTGAAAGGTAGCAGTAGTGGCAGTGGAGGACATATACTGTAGTAGTTATTAGGCTGGAATGTTGATAGAAATGGATTTAACATTGAATCAAGCAATACTATTCCTTGGAATTAAAGAAAGCCATGAATTGGGATGCCCAATAATTTTGTGTATAATACAGACAATATACAATTTTTTCATAGGATCTCTCGTGTTCATCAATGAGTGTTAAACTTTTTACTGTTCAGTTAGTCTGTTCAATTTTCACTCATACAGTATATTCAAAGTCTGTTTTACCCTTCAGAGATCTTTGTCAAGGACAGAGCCATTGTTTAACAGTACAGTACGTATAACTAAGCACTGTTGTGTGCTCCTATAGAGAGGTGCAGTTGTCCTATTTTTGGCCTGTTGTAGGAACCAACAGGAGTGGATTGTCTTTTCATTGTTTCCATACAGGTCTAGCTGGTTATTGTACTGTCCTAAGTGGGGGTGCAATGCATGATCTGCAGACTGCAGGTGCTAAACTTAAACATCATAGGATATATTTCATCAGGGGAATTTGAGGCCAGGAGCTCCTCTAGAACTTCTTGGACTATTAATGTATCTCCACTTAATATGTGTAATTATATTTATATAAAATTCCAAACTAGTGAGAAAAAATACTGCTATTCTGAAATTTGAAAAATTGTAATTATGACACCTTGTATTGCTATGTCCCTGTATTTGTGGGCTGTGAATCTGGTATTAATCTGATTATGATTTTTCATTTTAGGTATATTAAAATGTCACCCATGTAACAGAGATCAAGTAGATAATTAGGATATGACACGCAAAAATGCCAAATATTTGTCTGACTGTGACACACATCCTGTTTCTTAACCCACCAACATGACAAGAATTCTTAGTGCAAGTTCAAGTCGAATAAACATGAACGGGCGCCGAATTCGTCCAAACCAATGTATCAAATTATACATAAAGTAACAATTATCAGTTAAAAACGCCACGCACCAAACGCCCCCGCCAGTAATTCTAATCAGCTTGAAGGCTGGAACACAAAACACAAAATGCACGACACTCACTGGAGTAAAAATAACAGAAACTAGCACAGCAAGCATGACTGAAAACCTTTGTTGATTTCATTTAATATGAAGAAAAAAGAAAAACAAATGATTGCTAATATAAATAATTTTAGCCACTGTGTATGAAGTTATTTTATAGTTTAAATTAAACAGTTCATTATAACAGCTATATCAAACCGATAAAAACACAAATGTAAAGAGCATACTAACCTGGGGATAAAACAACAGGCAGGATAAAAATCATTTTCTCTCTTACTTTACGACGTTTCGACTTTCGAAGGCCGCTAGTTGAATGCGATGAATCGTCAAGAATTCGACCTTCATATTGTACACGCACTTTTCCCTTGACTTCTAAGTGTATTTGTGGATTTCCTACAGCTTTCTTTAAATATACAACACAGCTTAATGTTATTGCGAAGCCAGCTGTAAACACAGGTCTATCTTGATCTTCACAAATGATCTTTCTGACATCAACAGCATCGGCATCTTGATGTAAGTCTTCTTCGTATTCAATGGCTTCGGCTTCCATTTCGTGACCTTTTCAAATATCGTGAGTTGAGTATTAAATATGTTTGTTTAGCTGCACAAATCCGTTCTATTTACTCTTTCCTTAGCAAAGTCATTTCGTTATCAAAGCGATCTTATGTGGCAGATTTGAGATTTCAAGATTTGTGAACCAAATTTTGAGTTTTACATATAGATCATTCGTCTTAATTTGGTTAATTTTTAACTAAACACTTCCGGTTCAATTGAAAGGGACAAAACTTCCTTTTTTCAAAAACCATTTTCCTTTCCTCTCTTACTTTTCTTTCTTTTCTTAGCTTTTTTCCTATACAATGGAAACTCCGAAGAAATACATATTTTTAATTCAACGTTTCGACTATACTGTTGAGTCATCATCAGGAATTATGAAAGCTACTAAAAATTTTACTTACTTTAATTTTGTAGCTTTCATAATACACCCTTTCGATAATTACGTCATGCACAGAGAAGCAGAACATCCTTCATGAACATGCATGAAAAAGAATTCTTCATTTTGACCAATAAATGTGAAAATAAGCTTTAACACGAAAAACGAGGCTCCAGGTCATGACCTGGAGCCTCGTTTTCGTGCTACATGTCAATGCTTATTTCCATATTTACTGATCAAAATCTAAAATTTTTTTCGCGCATGTGTTGAAGAAGGGTGTTCTGCTTCTCTGTGCATAGCCCATGAGAAAAAAAACTTGAAATCTTTTCCATTTATGGTGGTTGTGACGTAATTATAGAAAATTATAGGGTTGTATAAAACTCTTAATCACTTTTTTAATCACTATTTTGTAGTTAAATAGTGATTAACTCTCAAGTACGCGCTTCTTATTGGATGACGTTTCCACTAACTATAGTTAACTTTAATCACTTTTTTATACAACCGGCCCCCTAGTCGAAACGTTGAATATTAGAATAACAGTAGTCGAAACGTTGAATATTAGAATAACAGTAGTCGAAACGTTGAATTTTAATAAAAATATGAACTTCTTCGGAGTTTCCATTGTATTGTATTTTGTTAGATATAAACATGGGCGTACCGGAAGGAAAAAATTAGGGGGGCGGAAAGAAAATTGCCCGACTTTTCGGGATTTTGCCCGACTAGTACCCAAAAATTTTTCCGGAAAAATTTTTCTGGCGACCTCCCCCCCCCCGGTCAGTGTACCATTTTAGGGGTCAAAAAAATTTCCCGGACAACCAATTTTTCGGAACATACACAAAATTTTCGAAAAATCTCAAAATTTGCCAACAAATTGACTTAATTTTAGACAAAATTTACAGAATTTGTCACATTTTTTTTTATTGCAAGCCGAAATTGCCCGACTGTTGATCCAATATTGCCCGACTGCCCAAAAAACTGGGGGGGCGGCCGCCCCCCCGCCCCCCCGCCCGGTACGCCTATGCATATAAATAGGCCCTATTTAATATATTAGGGCCTGAATTTCAGGTTACTTTGTTAATTACGAGGTTGGTTACTTTTTTCCCAGAGCTTTTCTCCGTGAAATTTCTTGACACGTGGAAACACACACTGAAAGTGAAATGCGTATATTAAACGCAGTGATTAAACGTCACAAAACTTTGGCAATTGGCATATTTGTCAGATATTTGTTCATTCAACTTGAGGTAGATACGTACAAATCCTGTCGATAGAATTCCAGATTTGAGGGTCTTTAAAGCACCAGTGGAATGCTATTTGATGTTTCCACAAAAGTATAAGGTACGACTATATATGTGCGGAAAGGTAGCCGATATAAACTTTAACTTTAATATTAAAATTTATTGCTAAAATTTTATATTATATTTGGCCGATAGAAGAGTCGAGTCGCGTCTGCCGTCTGTGAAGTGTTTCAACTTTCAAGTGTAGCGTCCAGTAGTGCTCATTGACGTACCATCATTTAGGGACAAAACGGAAATGCCCAATAATGATACAAATCCCATTAAAATACTGTAAAATATTACGGTACTTGTAGAAGTAATTTTAAAATTATTCTCCGATCCGAGTTTATATTTTGACGTCATCAATTTTTCATCTCACTATCTAAACATCTTTGCTAAAAGTGAACCTCAGAATTGGAATCTTCATGCTCAAATTAGTCTATACCACACACAAATTTCATGATGTTTGGATATTCAGGGCGTGAGTTGAACGGCGTTTTGACAAATGTTGTTTTCGCTATGTAAGCATATTTTCTTTGGAGCGGAAGTTCCTGTGAAATGTATAAAATATAGAAAAACAAAATTTTCAAAATACTGTATTTATATTAAAGACTTATAACCCTCAACCCAAAATTTCCAATGGACTAATTTGAGCATGAAGATTTTAATTCTTCAGTCCATATCTGCTAAATATGAAGATGAAAAATCAATGATGCCCAGACTGGAAAGTTTGGAAATTGCACGCCGGAGATTTCGAAAATTTAATAGTATTATCACAGATGAGGTAATACAGATGTGAATCTCCTGTGAAAATGTGTCACACGGATTAAATAAACTTTAAAATTGTATTAATTCACTATTTTATTAAATTTTGATAATGCAGAGGAATAAAACTATACATATTATAGAAGTATTCATGTTTTTTTATGCGAGAGTTATGTTTTGAGGCATTTATATCATTCGCTGTTTTGTTATTTATGCACGAGCATCTGAAATTCCCAGCAAGTGTATTTCACGATTTTAATAAGAAGTAGATAGGGAAAAAAACAAACTTTTGCTAAATAAAATGTTATATTAACACTTTTAATAAAAAGAAATCAATAAAAGTGATCGCTTACCGTTACTCTTGAAGAATTAATTCCAAAAATAGCCGTCGGTAGCGTAGACTTTTTAAAAAAACAATTTTTCGTCTTTCGAACGGCGTTTTCCTATCTCTTTCCTTATTAAATTTCAGAATGACACTTGCCAGCGCTCGCCGGAAGTGAGAATTCCGTGTGACACAAAACAATCAGCAATTTCACAGGAGATTCACATCTGTACTTACCTCATCTGTGGTATTATGCACCTATCAATGTTAAGCCCCAGAGGGGGGGGGGTCGGGCATAGATGGGACATTTGACTTTTTGAGCAAATTTTCAATCAAATTCCCCACCATCGAGCAATAAATATCGGTCAAATGCCCCACTATTTTGCAATAAATTGCAATAAATACTATATTAATAAAGGTTAATTGGTTCAAATTGCCCCAACTTGGGGCCAAAATGCTGATCAAAATCCCCAGGGTGGGGATGCAATTGATGATCAAATACCCCACATATGCCCGACCCCC